TCAATACTGGAGACACAATGGCAAACAACACGGACATAGCGCTGCTCTCTCTGAAGTGATGGTCATGTGTGAGTATTAATCAGATCATCAGGTGAATGAATGTATAATTTAAAATAGGTGCTCTGATTTCCAGAAAGCAAATTGAGCATTTTCTATGGGGAGTCTAACTGGCCCAAGAGGAACAGCTTAAAGATGCTGACATTGGGAGATGCCAATTAGCCCAGTTGGACCATTCTACATTGAAGTCCACAGTCAACAATCCTCACCTATGCTCACTTAATCACCCACTCAGAAGCATGAACAGGCCACCATGTATTCCCAAACATTTGAGGAAAGTCTGCAACGTAAAAGATGGGGACCATAAAGCCTACCTACTTGATTGATACTTACATACATACATACATACATACAACATGAGAACAGTGACCTGTAAGCAATGTGAAATGTGCAATGAGAGTAAACTTTTATTTAAAAACTATCTTTATCATCCTCTGAGATATAAGAAAAGATATTCTATCCAGGAAACAAGAAAAAAGTGATACTTTTTAAAGAAAGGAATGTTGGGAGAGTGAAGAAGAGCTCTTAGGAGAGCTCTTAGCATAAATGAAAAACCCTACAGAAAGACAGGAAGATCAAGTTGAGGGGATATCTCCATAAAGAAGAACAAAAGACAAAGAGATGGGAAACAAGAGATAGAACAATTCGAGGACAAGTAGAGAAGGTCTGATACTCAAATGATAGCTCCAGAGAGATGAATGGAGAAAATAAGGGGGGAAATCCTCAATTAAATAGTTCAAGATAATATTCCAGAATTGAAGGATGTTAATTTCCACATTGAAAGAGTAACTGAGGGGCCAGCATAATGGATGAAAAAAATATCCACTTCAAGATACACCACCATGGAATTTCAGAACACCGTAGGAAAATGAACACTGTATATTAGAAGCCAGTGAATGATATCTTCGATGTCCCAAAGGATGATTATTTGCAATCCCAACTTCTACAACTATCTGAACAGTTAGTTAATTGAGAGGGCAGAATGAAGATTGTTTTGGACAAGCATGGTCCCAGAAAATTTACCTGTGTGTATCCTCACAGGAACTTACTTGAGGATGCAGTACTGCTCTAGGAAGGGCAGGGTGGTATGGGGGCAAGATTGATACACTTACTCTGATGGTGAGATACAGGGTAACTTTGTAACCATCCAACCACTCAACATTGCTCTTAGGAATGTCCCTATTCCTCATCAGTGCTGGAGATTCTTAATAAGTCTTCTTTACTTTTAGATTTGATGTTGAGATGCTCTTTAGCCTGCATTTGAAATTCCAGTGGATGCTTGACATTAGAAAAGAGGACCTATGAAAACCTCTAAATGGAGAACACCCTGCTCACAAAGAGTTACTGCTGGGAATTCTTTATGCCTCAGGGAGAAAGAAAAACAGTGCAGACCCTGCAATGGAAATGCAGTTTCCCCAAATTACAAAAGACCAGATGCCAAGGATCCTTAGCATAATGAATACTGAAAACCGGAAACACCCATACAAAACCCTCTAGGCTAAGGATCTACTCTACAATATTCCACCTTCATATTTTGTTTCTCTTAATTTCTTTAGAAAATCGTATTACTGTTAAGAAATAGTTGCCTTTTCTCCCTGGAGGTGGATTGGGTTTCTCTGCCATTTGGCCAGTACTTGACCACTTGGCTTGTTTTGGTCAGTTAAGTGTGAGCAAATGTAATGCCTATCACTTTTGAGGCAGAAGCTTTAAAAGACAGGTCATGCTTTACCACATTTTCTTTCCTTTTTGCCTCAATGATGTTTGATGTTTGAGACAGAGGCTGTTCTATCAGCTCTGGTTGAAGAGTGAAGCCAATGTGTCGCAGAGTTATAGTCTACCTGTCATGTTCGTCATGCAGCATGAATGTTCATGTTCCGGTGAGAAATAACCTTTCTTGTTATAAGCCATGATGGTTTTGAGGTTTGTTACTGAAGCACAACCTAGACTTTTCTTACTGATATAATTTCATTTTAGAGTGGCTTCTAGTTGCTGATATCTAAGGAGGCATTTCAATGTCATCAGGAATGTATTTCTAAACCTCTGAGTGGGAATGGCCTATTTACATGACAGTCTCATATGCAAAATGAGTAACCACAGAGTATGTGAATTTTTTTAACCTCTGAGAATCTTCTTCCTACCCAATATGAGCAAGATCATTCCCATTCACTAATTTCAGAAATATTGAGAGCCGACCAAATGCCAGGCATTGTGTTAGGTACTAGGGAGAACAATGAACAAGTTGATACAGTCCTGGTCCCAGCAGAAGCGTTTTATTCTAGTAAAAAAGACAGATAATAAGTAAGTACATAGTGATTTAAAAGCAACTGCAATACAAGCAAGGATGATGAAGTCTAGGGTGTTAGTAGAACATAGAACACTGGACCTGACTGGGTCTGGGTCATTCTCCTTTTTGGTGCCCCCAGAAATATTAATGAGAGTTGTCCAAAGCTACTCAATCACTAAATGGGAAGAATGGGAACCTCAGCGTCTTATTTAGGCATTCTGTGGTCTTTGGAATAAACCTTGAACTGTGTCTTACAATTGGACCAATCACCCTGTTTTTATTCAAAGGGCCAGCCAGCTGGAATTTGGATGAATCAACATGGTACTCAGTTGTGTCTGACTCTGAGACCCCACGGACTGTAACCCACCAGGCTCCTCTGTCCACGGAATTCTCCAAGTAAGAATACTAGGATGGGTTGTCATTTCCTCCTTCAGGAGATTCCAAACCCAGGGATTGAATCTGGGTCTCCTGTATCTCCTGCACTGGCAGATGGATTCTTTACCACTGAACCATGGGAGAAGCCCATAAATCAACGTACTCACCTCAGAATTTTTTTAAAATATTCAAAACACAAGTATCACTGATACTGGGTCAGCAGAACCATTCTCATTTGGGAAGGCTGATGCCATATCCTTGATTTTTTAAGAATAAGAAAGTTAAAATACTAGCAAACCCAGGCTGGACCACAAATAAATGTGTTGGCATGTTTTGGCCTGCCTCATCACAGCACTTAACAGCAGCAACACAGCCAGATAGGTGATTTCCAACATTTCGGCCAAAAGGGATCATCTCCAATATTGCAATCTTGCAAAATTCTTTTATTTTACCACAACCTGTGGAGAAGGAAATGGCCACCCACTCCAGTGTTCTTGGCTGGAGAAGCCCATGGACAGAGGAGCCTGACTGCCTCCAGTTCATGGGGTCGCAAAGAGTTGGACATGACTGAACAATGAACACTACACACCATAATCTAGCAATTAATCCAACTTGATTTTATTCCATTCAAAATAAGTTTCTAAGTACCTAGGGATACAGGGAAAGATAAGACTCAGTCTCTCCTCTAAAGGGACTCACAGGGGAATAGTGGAGTCACTAACAAAGGAAGAATTGTTCTTGGATTATTGGCCAATTATGGCTCTTACTACTTTGCAAAAGCTACAGTCTCCTATTTGTCTAACAAAAAGGCTCAAGAGAAGTCACACTTGATTTTTTATCTTTATTTTCCCTTTCTTAGAGCTCATCTTCCTTCATAACTTCTTCAGACAATGCATTAAATGGTTGACAACATGACTCTCCATTAAAATTCAATTCCTTGGCACCATAGGGCTTGGAAATATTAATCACGAGGGTAATCTTGTTAAGCCAAAGAGGGGCACCCCAATTTGGACCTACCACTGACAAGATGGGACTTCCCTGGTGGCTCAGATGGTAAAGAATCTGCCTGCAATGCAGAAGACCCAGGTTCAATTCTTAGGTCAGGAAGAGCCCCTGAAGAAGGGAATAACTACCCATTCCAGTATTCTTGGGGCTTCCCTTATAGCTCAGTTGGTAAAGAATCCGCCTCCAATACAGGAGACCCCGGTTGGGTTCCTGGCTTGGGAAGATCTGCTAGAGAAAGGAAAAAGTTACCCACTCCAGTATGCTTGCCTGGAGAATCCAATGAACAGAGGAGCCTGGCGGGCTACAGTTCATGGAGTCACAGACTTGGACACGATTTAGTGACTAAACTACCACCACCACCGCCACCACAGACAAGATGCGTGTCAAGCCCCTAAATCTTGTTTCTTTGTAGGGGGAGGGCGTTTGCTCATTTTTAAAAATCCACCTCAAATGCTCAAGGTGTCCTAGTATTAAGATTCCTTCCCTCGCTTTTAAATATCCGTTATCTAGTTACTTAGGCATTCCAAGAAGCCCTCTAGCAATACTGTTTTGACTAAGCAAGCAGTGAAGCAATGATGGTCCGGTGGTATTTCCTGTTTCCCCAGAGCCCCAGAGTTCCTGAAGGAATGTGTCAGAAGATACTACCGCTGGCTTCCACAGAAGCGTCCTTTCAGAGCCGTGTCGCTAGGCAACGCCAGGTGTGGCATTAGCTCATCCTACTGCAAACTGATGAGGCTGCAAGAACTCGGGCCCAGAATTCTGCAAACGTGGGGCACTGACATTTTTGTGGTGCTGTTGCTTGCCCTCCAGCATTTTAAAGCGCTTAGTTCCAATATTCCTAATCGATGGTCACTTTCTGAGAGGGACAGACAGGGTGCCGTCTAGGGAAAGCCACGTCACTCCCCTCTGGGTTTCCAAACAGCCGACAGCCGGGCATCTCGGGCCACAGACACACGCCTCAAAAAGCCTGTCACGACATCGTCGACGGCCCTGGATGAAGTCGCGTCCGGAAATAGCCAGAGAGAGACTCTGGTCCCAAGACCAGACGACAGGGCCCGCCCCCCCACTTCCGGCCGGACTGCGGTCACGTGCCCCGACCCGGCCCCGTAGACGCGGCTCCTCTCGCGTCGGCGAGCGTCCCGGCTTCCCTTCCGCCGGAAGTGGGGCGACTTTCCCTTTCCGGCTACGGGTCCCCAAGTGGAGCGGGAGGCCGGACAGGGGATCCGAGCGGCGGTGGCGGCGGCGGCGGCGGCGGCGGCGGCGGCGGCGGGGGGCGGTAATGGCGGAGCTGGTGCAGGGGCAGAGCGCTCCTGTGGGGATGAAGGCTGAGGGCTTCGTGGACGCTCTGCACCGGGTCCGGCAGGTACGGGCGCGGCCGGCCGGCGGGAGCACGGGAGCCCGAGGCGGGGCCGGGTCGGGCCAGATGGGGAGGAGGAGGGGGTCTGGTCTGGGGGCGGGACGTAAACCTGGGCTGACGCCCCAGCTGGGTGCTTCGGCAGTTTCTTGGGGCGCCTGCAGCCGGGAGGAGCCATGGGATGAGGCGCCAGTGGGAGGACCAAGGCCCAGACTGTCGGGCGGGTCTCCTTAGGTTTCTGCAGCTGCTGGGAAAGGGTTGACCCAGGATGCCTGGGCCCTGTCGCACCCTCACGCCGTGGCGGGGGCTGGACCCGCCGGGCAGCCAGCATGGGGTTCTGAGGTTTACAGGGGTAGGGAACTGGGGGGCTCACGGAGTGAACCCGGGTCTGGGCAGAAGGGGCCTATCTCAGGCCCAGTACCTTCTTAAAACTGGGGAAACAGCCTCTTCAGACTAGGAATTCGAGGGTAGTTTACTTTTGAGGGTGCTCTGGGAGAGGGGAGTTGTTAAGTAGATGTGGATGGTCCATAAGACATAGACATTCCTTATGGGCAATAGTTTTTGCTCTTTCAGGGAGCATGTGATAATGGAGTCATTCCAGCAGTGAAATTTGACCATCTGACAATGTCGTGCATTTTGTCAGAGTTAAATAAACTGATTTTTAAGAGGTTGCAAGCTTCCCTGGAGAATGAATATGGGACCTGCCAGAAACACTCTTTGGTTTCTGGTATGATGCTTAGAACAGAACCTGTACTGTGTGTGAAACTTAGCGATAAGTTAGCTCTAACACTTAAACTTCTTTGCTGAGTCTTATGCTCATCATTTCTTCCTATTTAATTGTAGGCCTACTAAGGGGTTCTTTAAAAGTTGGGCTATAACTAATTACCGCTTGATTCCTAACAGAAAGCCACAGGACCCACTGTATTAGAAGAAAGTCTCAACTCAGTTGCTTGAAGATATGGTCTTTCCACCTCTTTCCAGTATTCCAGGGGAGGGAACCCTACCTGTTTCCCATATACTGACTTTTCATTTTAATACTGATGCTCCTATAGACATTGCATTGGATCCCAGAAGTTTCCAAACCTGTGGTTCAGCCTAAAATTTTGTCTGATGACTTGTTACTTACTGCCTAGGCACCGAGCACTATGCTAGTGAGTATCCGTCTTACTTAGACTTCAGAGCCAGCCAGTGGCTGTGATGGATGAACAGTGCCCTTCAGCTCCCCTCCCTCCGCTCTGCTTGCCGGCGTGTTTCACTGCTCTCCTCTACAGTACAGGGCCCTGAACCTTGTTTCTGACTGGCTACTAATATGTAACGGCTTTTCACTCTGTGCTGATGTGTGACAGTCACCTTGTCGGCCTCTGTATCCAGGAAGAAGTATAGTCACTACCCTAAAGAGCTCAGATCCTCAGTTGGCAGAAGGCCTGTAGTTGAACATAAGATGAATTTTGAACCATTGAGAAGACTTTCTGCTTCTCTTGAGCCAGTGGTTGAGCTCGTATTCTTGGACAACCTGCTCAAGAGGGAGGGACACCCTCTGTTTATATGCTGACCTAATGTGGATTGTTGAAGCAGTGGTGTTTACTACTAGCAGAGGAAACTTCACTGGAACTGTTCCCAGCTCTGAAATGCACCATTGACTGGAGCAGTTATAAGCCCAATGGAGACAGTGCTGTAAGTGTATCACTTCTGAATGTTAACAGCTGGAGGTCGATACTATCTCCAAGGACTGATGGCCTTAAAAACTAAAGAAAACACAGGTTTGTGGGTAATTTTAGGTTTATTTATAGATTTGCATTGGGCACAAATGGGATGTTAGAAATCTAAAATATTGTGTGCTTACAGTAAAGCTTATCTCAAAGGGCCTCATACTATTTGGGCATCTGGTGGTGGTGTTTCTACTTTGCCATTGTATACACAGCATGTTACAGAGGTGTGATCTCCTCCCCCTGCCAACCCCCCCCCCGCCCCTCCCAGTAACTGGAGATAAAAGACAGTGTATTTCTTTAAATGATTACAAAGCTTTCCCTTCTCTCAGGTACCCTTGCAAACATCAGGGGCGGTTGGTAAGGCCCTCATAAGCTTGTCAGGGAGCACTGAGCTGTCTGATGTTCAGTTCATCCAGAATATCACAGTTGAGTCTGAGTTGACCCTGCTGGGATTTGAACCTGTGGTTTCTCTTCAGTCTGGTATGTGGAGTCCAGCACCTAATCCACTAAGCTTCCCTCCTAGCCTCTTGAAGCCTGTTTTCATATCCTTTGGATGCTTTCCAACAAAGGGAGCCAGTTGTTGCTATTAGTTTGCCCTGAGCCTGGCATTCCTAGATCTGAAGGGAATCTCTGAAGATGTCATATAAAATTTAAAATCTCCGCAGCAGCATGAAGTCCGGTGAGTTAATAGTGTTTGGCCAAAGGGCTCACATAGCCATCTTGCAGGGAAGTTCACACACATGTAGAAAGATGTTCTCATTTGGTCCCACTGGTGAAGATCTAAAACTGCTGGGTATTAAAAAAAAATCACGTCCAGTTCTCAGATGTCATTGACTGGTTAGCAAAATGAAAGTGTGTCTTCCACTCACTGTTTAGAGAGCACAGGGTCCTGATAAGAATGGGATGTGGACTCAGAGCCAGGTTATCCTGTACTGTGGCCCCACTGCACCTCTACCCTGACTACTGTCTCTCAGGCTTTCAAGGGAACTTCATGGAAATTATGGATGAATAGATGCAAAGCTGTTTTGTCTTGTTTCATTTTCCTAAAAATAAAAAAGCATTCCCGAAAAGCCCACTGTGATGATTTAGTAGCATCCATGTCCAGGTTCACCCATCCACATGTTACCAGGACAGTGTCACACCACAGTGTCTTAGAGGTTCCCAGCAGCCTTCTATGAGCTGGGCCAACTGCTTGCCAGTCGTCACCCAAATAGACATTCTTTTGCCAGACTGCCAGGGCTTTTTAAGACTTCAAGCTCCTATTTTGCCCTCAACTCAGTCAGCACCTCTGAACTGCATAACTCGAGAGGGTTTGGTGTCCATACATACAGTGTATGTATGGTGCCTGCTGGCGTTGGGTGTCTGGGTGCTTCTGCTTGCAAATAATTGTGACCACGCCAGTGGAGAGTCTGTGGAAAGTAACATTTTGACCAGTTTTAAGACCTAGAACCTATTCTTTACCAGCACTTTTTTGGGAGCTGGTGGGCGGCTCAGGGCCTCAGAAGTTCACAGTCCTCCCGAGCGTGCTTTCCAGTGCTGCCAGTTCACACTTGGAGCCTGAGCAGTGGGTGGTTCGGCCCCTGTGCTGTGGAGACACGCTGCATGTCCTTTAACAGACTGTGCCTCCATCACTTAAAGAGAAGGCCTGTGTTCATTTCCCGCCGCACACCCCTGGCGGAAGGACGCCTTTGCTCGCCTCATGTGTGATGTGTGCGCCTCACGGCAGAGTCACAGGTACTGAATGCTCAGTCGCTGTGAGTTTACTCCACTGAGACCGTCTCAGGCATGCCCGCTGGTTGAGGAGCTCAAGTCATCATTTGACAAGGGACTGACTCCGGTGTGTGCGTTCATTTGAACTTTCTCAGACACTTGAAGAAAAGCAGTGTCTGCGGGACATCTGTGGGCTGCTCGGTGTTTTACTTTGGTGGGACTCAGTGGAGGACCCTACAGGGAGCAGGTGGGTTTTCGTAACGCGACTGAGCCCCTTTGGGTCACCAGACTTCATCTTTGGTGTTGAAAAGTAAAGGGTAAATGAACAGTGCATTCCACTGGATGCCTCTGAACACTGTTCTAACATTTCAGCTGAGGCTTCTTTATCTTTCTTGTAAAATCTGACAACCCATGTGTATCATCAAACTAATGTTTCTGTTACATGTCCCTGATACAAATTTTCCTAGACCAGAGTTTTCAAACTGGTGGGCTGTGGACTGGAGAAGGCTCAGAGTGGTCCTGCAGGCCTGTGCTGTTTGACCACAGGGGTCCAACACTTGGTAACCAGAACAGTTTCATGCAAAAATGGAAATTCCCAGCTCAGACCTGGTCACACTGCTCCCATGCTCTGCAGCGAGCTGGAGCTGAGTAGCTGGGCCTCAGTAGCAGCTGCCCCTGTGCATGTGAAGCTGACTCTCTGGGTTGCCTGGGTTCCCACCACTTCATTTTATGCTGCCCATTGGGTTGCCTAATTGGCAGTTCTTTTCCCCTCTTCTTTGTCCAAATTGTGAGTCCATACTGTTAAAATTTCTAATGGAGAGAACTCTGGGTAGAGAGTTAGGACATCTGAGTTTCCTGCAGATAGCTACATGACCTGGGGCCAGCTTGGCCTTTCCCAGCATTTGATCTACAAGTTGTTCATAGGTCTTCTATGGAAAGGGCTCATGGCCAGAGAGGTTTGGGGGATACAGGGTTAAATAAAGGTGAATTGGCTTCTTCAGTTCAGGACTTCTCAGAGCCCTTGTTGTGTTGTTACACCCAGTCTTGACTTGCAACCCTCTGCCTGCCAGGTTCCTCTGTCCATGGAGTTTTCCAGACTAGAATACTGGAGTGGGTTGCCATTTCTCAGAACCCTAAGTTTGCTTCTATACATAAAGTCATACTAGGGTTTGAGATATGCATTGTAAATATGCCAAAATTCTGTCACTTGTTACTCTCTTTTCATGAAGCCAAATCACTTCCTGTGGATCAAACTTTAGGAAACATTAAGCTAGATATTCTCAATGGCCCCTTCAGGCTCACAAACATTCAGAGCTTCCATCTGGCTAGATCTGAAAAAAATTTTGACGGTATTATTTTGATTCTTTTCCTTTCTAATGTGTTGTGTTGGGTGTCTATTCCAGCTTCCCCTCTCCCTAGCTTTTCTGTGCAGTTCTTTCACTCTGTTAAGAATCATCCCTCTTGAAAATGTTTTGCATTTAAAGTTCAGTTACAAGGACACTTGGGAAAGAATAGCCAATACTTTAGGAAGCATGAACTGCATTTTTATCCTGATGTCAGATGATAGCAAATCATTTGCAAGACTGAGTA